GACCACAACAAGACTGGTTAAATCTATCTTAGACTCGTTTAAGTCTCCTTTTCTAAAGATAATTTTCCTATATATCTGACTACTTGTGGGCCATTAGTCAATTTTGTGCTTACCCTCCCCCTAAGGGCTAACAATGCATTTACACCGTTGAGTGTTTGCCATTTGTGAAAAAATTTTGCCTAAAAAAGAAAGTATTCGACTTAGGTTTCCGCGGGCATACAGCATTTGAATGATTCATAGAATTGTAACAGATTTACCTCAGAATGTGTATTTTACTTGCTTTTTTGCAAGAGACTAGTATACGCCCATCTGGCGCTGCTACAATTCGACTTGGACCTTGTAAAGGAACGGTAGTTTTGCCTGTAAAGCGACCGTCTAAAGAAAACTGCTGAACTCTGTTATTGTTTGAGTCACAAACAAGAAGGTTATTAGAGCCGTCTAAACACATGCCACGGGGTGCGTCGAACTGTCTATCTTGATTCCCTTTTTCGCCAAACTTGTACTGGAAAGTGTTTGACGCATCAAATGCTTTTATGACGTGATTGTCTCTTTCAGTTACCAGGAAAATGTTTTTGTAAGGAACGCAGCCGTATGGTGTACTGAGTTTCTCTGGACTATTGTCTCCTATTGTGAATAGAGCTTCGCCCTCTTTTGACATTACTTGAACTCTATTGTTATTGAATTCAGTGACAACAGTACGTTCTGTATCATCAAGGCAAATACTAAGTGGAGTCTTGAAGTTTCCTTTTCTCTCACCTTCTTTTCCAAAGGTTTTTACAACAGATCCTGTCTGGATATTTATGTGTTGTATTCTGTTATTTGATTGATCTGCAATAAGAATTTCGTTGTTGTTTAAAAATGACACCCCATTTGGATTTTTGAATTGTCCAGGATCTGTTCCTTCTTTTCCAATTTGTTGTAAACAGTTCCCTTCTTTATTGAATACGAAAACACAGTGTCCGTAATAATCTGCAACAGCTATGTCGCCTTGCCTGTTAACGGCGATTCCACTTGGTCCCTTGAACTCCTGCCCTTGGTTGAACTTGAAGTCAAATTCACCGACTACGACAAGTTGACGTTCTTTCACTGCCAAAGTGAACGGACAGGTCGGAAGCTTTTCGCCATTAATCTTCACCTCAACGCTGTAGGCGCCAGGCACTTTAGGTGTAAACTTCAGCCTAAGATTGCCTTCTCCTTTTTCTTGAACAGTCACGTTTGTGACGTCAACGGCAGGTTTTAACAGCAATTCAACTTGATCGTGAAAATCGGCCTGGTTACAAATCTCTCCCTCTGCAGTTTTTGGACACAACGTTAACTCTACTTCTACACCAGCCTGGAAAGTTTGATCCAATCCTTTTACAGTTGATTTAGCGGCTTTTGCCGGTTTCTCGGTGAGTTGTATAAAACCCAGTTTCAAGTCTTGTTGCGATGCCGCAGTAAATTTGACAAATGTTGTCGGATGATGCCTTGAAATCTTAACCCCACAAAGCTTTTGAAATTTCTGCTTCAAAGTTGTCATGTTGGATACAATATGCAAGCCAGACCATCTCTGAACGAGGCCTTCCGCTAATTTAGCCGCCTGGTTCATTTGTTTTACCAGAAATTCCAGTTCTTGTTTGGCCGATTTAATTTGCTCTATTCTTTTTCTACGTGTCATTTCTAAGGAGTCTAACAACTGTTTTTCTTGCTGTCGCGTCTCTATGATCACGTGTTGAGCTGCTTCAGACACGTCTTGTTTAGCGATTGCGATAATCATTTCCACATCCTCTGAGGTTTTTTCAAGTTTTCTAATCTCTTCTCGAAACAACTTTTCCTTTTCCTTGATGGTGTCGACGTTCAACATGATATGTTTCTTATCTTCTTGCACTCTCTTTTCAATAACGTCGAACTCATGGCCTCGGTGATCTTCGGCGAAGCAAACAGGACAAATACACGCTTCGCAGGAAGAGCAGAAATATCGTAGTCTTTCGCTCTTGTGTTGCGAGCAAAACGGCGGCTTCAGTAAGGCCTCGCGATCTTCCGTTT